CTTCACACACACACACACACACACACACACACACACACAAATCATATACATGTAATAATAGGTAATGAAGCATCCAACAAGTTGGTGTTTGGGATGTTTCCAGAGCTGTGTAATGATTACCTTAGTAAGCTTCAGATAGACCATTTCCTTCACCCCCAAAGTAACGTGTCTTCCTGAAAGTCCTAGGCTCATATCCTGGGCCTGTAACTTCTGCCTTCACAGGGATTGGGTATCTGGTTTCACCTGTCCTGTGTCTCAGAGGGAAGGAAGCTGCCTTTAGTACAGTTGGACAGGGCTATTTTCTCAGTAGAGAACCCATATGCCATCGTGTGGGCTAGGCTGAGCTGGGTTGCTCTCCTGTGCCAGCACTCCCCTGGGGTTTGGGGGTCCTATCCAAGCCATTTCTGCCTCTGACCTCATGGTTTGTTCCTATTCCTCCCCAGAAACACTACTTCCCCATCAACTACAGGATTGGTGTGCCTTACGAGGGGGTGCTCAGAGTTGCCAACATCACCAGGCTGGTGAGGAGTCTTCCTGGGCTAGGGAGCCTCTGCCTCCTATGATGCCCTCAGAAGCACATGGTCTTGCCACATTGTCCTGCTGACCAGGGGCCTTTCCCCAGCCACTGAAACCAGCCCACTGCTGACCTAGACCCCAAGTTGCCTGCTTTCCACAGTGGATGCCTGTGGTTGCTCCCACGCAGGGGCAAATCCAGGGGTTGGGGAGTGGTCACAGCCCAGAGGCCCACGCCTGTGGTTTCCAATTTTTTTCTCCTGTCCCTGCAGCAGAGGGCCCGTGTGAGCGAGCGGGAGCTGCGTTATCTGTGGGTCTTGGTGAGTCTCAATGCCACCGACTCAGTGTTGGACGTGCTGCTCGAGGACCACCCATCCTGGAAGTATCTGCAGGAGGTTCAGACCCTGCTGGAGAATGTTTATGAGAGCCTCAGGGTGAGCTGGGTGCACGTGTGTGAGTGTGTAGGTCTGACAGGTACAGTCAAGGACTATGGAGGGAAAGTTCTGACCTGTCTTGAGAGGAGACATGAGGGATGGGGGCACAGTCAAAACAAAGAAGGAAGACACTAGGATGAGCAATGAGCAGACGAACCAGGCTGTTGGGGCCAGGGTGGGGGGAGCGGAGGTGCGTGTGACCTTGTTTTAGTCTCTTTCTCTCTCTGCTTTTATTTTTTTAACTTCAGAGAGACTTTTATTATTATTTTGGAACCTGTTGAATTCAATCAGTGCTGCCTGCCGGAAGGCCAACTGATCTTGCTGGCTTGACCTTGTGTGGGTCTTGTGCAGGAGCCACAGTGGCAGTGAGTTCCCAAGTGCAATGGCCATGCCATGTCCAGAAGACAGCATTTCACAGCACTTATTTATTTAGTTTGGATTTTTATTTTATTTTATTATTTTATTTTATTTTTGTCTTTTTGAGACAGGGTTTCCCTGCAGCCCCAGCTGGCCTGGAACTCACTATGGAGACCAGGCTGGGCTCGAACTCACAGAAATTCGCCTGCTTCTGCCTCCTGAGTGCTGGGACTAAAGGCGTGTGTCACCATGCCCAGCCTAGTTTTGTTTTTTAAAGACACGGTCTTCCTATAGCCCCAGCTGGCTTGGAACGTACTATGTAGACCAGACTGGCCTCAGTCTCACAGAGATCCACCTGCTTCTATCTCCTGAGTGCTGGGATTAAAGGCATGTGCCACCACACCCAACTACTTATTTATTTATTTTAAAATTTTATTTATTATTTTGATTTTATGTGTATGCATGTATTACCTGCATATAGGTAAGTGCCCCTGTGTCATGCAATGCCCGCGGAGGTCAGAAGAGGCTGTCGGATCCCCTGGGACTGGAGTTACGGACAGCTGTTAGCTGCCATGTGGGTGCTGGGATTTGAACCTGGGTTTTCTGCAATAACAACCAGTGTTCTTAACCACTGAGCCGTCTCTCTAGCCCCAATTAATTAATTAATTAATTAAATATTTGTTTATTTGGTCTTTTTGAGACAGGGTCTCCCTATAGCCCCAGCTGTCCTGGAACTCACTACGTAGACCAGGCTGGCCTTGAACTCACAGAGATCCGCCTGCCTCTGCCTCCCGAGTGCTGGGATTAAAGGCGTGTGCCACCATGCCTGGTCTAAAAATCTTATTTAGTTTTAAAAGAAGATTGATCTTTATTATTAATTATGTGTGTATGTGTGTTTGCATGTGGGCATGTGCCCCTCAGTGCAAGTACCCACAGAGGGGCACATGCCTTTAATCCCAGCACACGGGAGGCAGAGGCAGGCAGATCTCTGTGAGTTTAAGGCCAGCCTTGTCTACATAGTGAGTTTCAGGTCAACAAGGGCTACATAGTGAAGTCCCATCTCTACAAACAAGTAAACAAGAAACACACACACACACACACACACACACACACACACACACAAAATGGATGCTGCATTCCTGTAGTCACAGTACTCTGAAGGCTGAATCAGGGAGATAATAAGTTCCAGGCAAGTCTGGGCTGCATAGTGAAATCCTATCTGAAAAACCAAACCAATCAACTGACCAACCAAATAAAAGGAATCTGAGTTTTATTCAACAGTAAGGTAACAGGGATGATCATGTGCCCACACAGCCAGCTGCCTGGCCTCCTCAGCCCATGACGAGAACATCTCACACCAACTGTGAGCTTCCGGTGATGAAAGGGCTCAGGGACCTGCAACTGTTTTTGCAGCTGTCTAGAGTCATTCTTGGGATGATTCTCTTAGGTCCTGCCAAGAAGTTTGTAGGAATTTGTTCCTTTGTGTTCATGAGCCACATGGGTGCACTGGGCAAGATGGGTGCTCCTGGCAAGTTGATCTGGCCTTCGTTTTACCTGCAGAGCAGGCTCTTAGAGGTTCTTGGGAGCTGAGCTGGGGAGGAGGATGTGAAGGCTTCAGCCTTCTCAATCTGGCCTGGCTTCTCTTGACTAAAATGGTACACATAAAATTTTTTAATTATTCAGATGTAGCCAGTTTTGGTACCCACCCCCCCTTGTGCTAGGAGCTGAACCAGTATTCTAGGAAGTCCCTCTACCACCAGAATATGTCCCCACCTCTGCAGCCAGCCTTTAAACCTCTCTTCTAACATTGTTAGTCATCTGTGATCTAGCTTTGAAGATGGACTTAACCTTTATTTATTATTAAATTATTTATTTAGGTCTTTTTGAGACAGGATCTCTCAGTAGCCCCAGATGGCCTAGAACCCCCTATGTAGACCAGGCTGGTCTTGAACTCAGAGAGATCCACCTGCCTCTGCCTCCCAAGTACTGGGATTAAAGGCAAAAATATTATTTTTATTTTATGTGTCTGAGTGTAATGCCTGCATGTGTGTAAGCACACCTGTGTCGTGCAATGCCCACAGAGGTCAGAAAAGAGTGTTGGACCCTCTGAACTGGAGTTATCATGTGGGTGCTGAGAACTAAACCCAGGTTCTCTGCAAGAGCAGCTGGTGCTCTTAACTGCTGAGCCATCTCTCTAGCCCCGGATTTAACATTTTTTGGGTCTTCTTTAAAATTTCCAAGTGATAGTGTAATGTAAAAGGTCAGGCCTGGAACTCAAATGCCAGCTCTGTTTCCTAATGCATAATCTTGAACAAGTTTCACCTCTGGGCTCAGGCTTTATTACTTGTAAAGGAAATCCTAAATTCTATCTAGCCATAAAACTTGGATTTGATAACCTGGTTCTATCTGTTTATCCACTTAGAGAGGCCTGGATTCTGGGTTCTGCATTATTCTTGTCCTACTTCCTCACCCCCAGTTGCTTTCATTCAGTTTCCTTAAGAAAATAAAATTGGGGCTAGATTAGAGATGGCTCAGTGGTTAAGAGCACTTGCTGCTCTTGCAGAAGACCCCAGTTTGGTTCCTAGCACCTACTCCAGGCAGCTCACAACCAACTGTGACTCCAGCTCCAGGAGATCTGATGCCCTCTTCGGCCTCCCCAGGCACTGGCATGTATATGGCACACACACACACACACACACATGCACACACACACACCATGTACTTGCATGTGCACACATACACACTATGTGTGCACGTGTGCTCACACACACTCATACACATAAATAAGAAAAATAAGTAAATTAATTAAAAAAGAAAATAAAATGAAAAACATAGTCCTCAGTGGAGACCATGGAAGCTGGTCTGGGAGGGATCACATTTTCTAACATAAAATGTGTCACTTTGACCATTTTTAGTTTGGTGGTGTTAGTTATATTCAAAGTGTTATGCAGCTGCCAACCTCACCCATTTCCAGCTCTGTCCTATCGCCCCGAGCAGAACTGTATAGGAAGCAGTCTTTTCCCACCTCTTTACCCCCTGCCCCTGTTTACCTGTAATTGTTTTGCCACTATATGTTTGCTTTTTCTAAGCAAATATATTGCCTTTGTTTGCTTCTCCATTGCTGTGATAAAAACACTAACCAAGGAGCTGGCAAGATGGCTCAGCGGTTAAGAGCTAACAACTGTCTTTAACTCCAGTTCCAGGGGAATCCGACATCCTCTTCTGACTTCTGTGGCATTGCACGACATGGATGCACTCACATACATGCAGGCAATACACTCACACACATAAAATAAAAATAATAAATAAAATAGTTTTAAAAAACACTAACCAAAACCAACTTGGGGAGGAAAGGGTTTATTTGGCTTGCAGCACAGTCCATCATCAAGGGAAGCCAAGGCAGGAACTTGGGGCAGGAACCTGGAGCACAGACCATGGAGGAGTGCTGCTTACTGGCTTGCTTCCTTTTTTTTTCTTGGTCTTTTTGAGAGAGGATCTCCCTGTAGCCCCAGCTGGCCTGGAACTCGCTATGTAGACCAGGCTGGCTGAGAACTCACAGAGATTCTCCTGCCTCTGCCTCCCAAGTGCTTGGACCAAAGGTGTGCGATACCACGCCTTGCTTGGCTTGCTTGCTTATACAGCACAAGACAATCTGCCCAGGGGCCGCAACACCCACATCACTCATCAGTCAAGAAAATGCCCCACAGATATGGCCACAGGCCAATCCAATGGAGGTAGTTCCTCATTTTAGGTTCCCTCTACCCAGGTGTGTCAAGTTGACAACTGAAGCTACCCACAGAGGTGGGATTATGCAGTATTTGTCCTTCCATGTCTGGCTGCTTGCACTTTGATAATGCTTTCAGAGTCTATCCATTGAACTGGACGTAGTGGAATATGACTCTAGTCTCAGCACTTGGAAGGCTGGTTGGGGCAGGAGGATGGGGAATTTGAAGCCAGCCTCGTCTACATACTGAGAACATGTCTCAAAACCAAACCAAAACAAGAGCAAAACAAATCAAGTTCATCCATTGGGCCAGGGCTGTAACTTAATGGTAGAGTGCTCGCCCAGTGTTTGTGAGGCACTGAGTTCAGTCCCTGGCACTGGAAAAAGAAAAAAGTGTATTAACCTAGGAGCAGAACTGCTAGGTCATGTGGTGACATTGCGCTAAGCTTTCTGAGGAACTGCCAGACAATTTTCTTAGTTTTACTTGTTGAGTCAGGGTCTCGCTGTGTAGCCCAGGCTGGCCTTAGACTTGTGTTTCTCCTTCTTGGCCTCTTGAATTACAGGCGCATGCCATCATGGCCAGCTTGAGACTGTTCTTCCATGAGAGGCCTTTGGAAGAACATCTCCTGCCTGCTGTCTCTGACTTTGAGTATCTCAGTGGCTGTTGGTGACTCTAGCCTCTCATCAGGCAAGGGGATGCATCTCTTCTGGGCATCCTGGTTCTCCCCAGATAGGAAGTGGCTGTATTCCCTTCCGTCATCTTTATTCCACCTTTGACCATAACTTTTCTAGGCTGCTGCAAGAAATCAGACCACACTAGGTGGCTTAAAACAGAAATGAATTCCATCACACTACTGGAAAGTGAAAGCCCAGAATCAAGGGCCTGGTGGGGCTAGTCTTCCCTGAAAGGCTCCAGGGAGAAACTGTCCTTACCTCTCTTTGACTAGAGGTAGCCCACTCCGTTTCCCTCATCACATGGCCCTGTGTCTCTCTGTCTCTGTGACCTTTCTGTAGGATATGAGGTTGGGAATATAGAATGCTGGTCTAGCATGCACAGGACCTTAGGTTCTGTTCCCCACACTAAGGGGAAAAAAATACCAGTCATTGGATTTAGAGTCCACCCTAAAATAGGGTCACATTCACAGGTACTAAAGGATAGGACTTCGGTGTATTTTCGGGGACCTGGGACACACAGTTCAGTCCAGATGCTTTTCCTCGGCTGCAGACACCTTTAGGAAGGTCGTCACTTAGCTTAGGTCTCATCTTTCCCATGATGTCTCTACAATGGCCCTGAACTTCCAGGGCCTACAACACCCTCTACACTGCCCCCCTTGTTAAGCTCTGTGGAGAGAAGCTACCTGAGCTTGGAGCCACACATCCAGCTCTTCCTGTGTGACTTGTGCCTCAGGCTCCCCATGAGGATTTTCTCTTGTTCCTTGGATGGAGGTCTCTACTTCCTGAAGGGCAGTTTTCCCAGACTGGAGGCTCTTCAAGGAGGCTGACAGCTGGATGGGCTCAAACAACAAGGAGGTCCCAATTTCCTGCCTGTCCCATGCTCTGTAATTTTTTTCTGATAGAGAAGGAGAAGCCTCTGTGAGGACTGACAACTGGCATCCTTACAACCTCTGGTCCCTGGAATCTCCATCATTCTATAGAGTTGAGACAGTGTCAGGCTAGTCCCCATGGTTTTCATGTGGTGATCTCTTTCTCTTCAGTGGTCCTGACCATTTGCTTCCTCCCAGGGTGTGAAGATTGGCCCTCAGGTGGAAGCTGCGTTGTCTCTCCTGAGTACCCCAGGCCTGAGCCTGAAGCTGGTGCGGCCCAAAGCCTTGCTGGACAACTGCTTCCGGGTCATGGAGCTGCTGTATTGCTCCTGCTGTAATGAACCCCTCATGGGTGGGGCTGGGGACAGGCCAGGGGATCTGGGCTAAGGTTTGTGGGCAGAGTCTGCACCGACTAGGGCATGTTCTCTGTTCCTGATTGACAGGTTGTTTCTAGAAGTTGAGATGGCCCCGAGTATAGGGACAAAAATGTGTGGCTTGGCTGGTGGGGGTGGAGGCTCTTGCTGTCTCCTGTAGGGGTTTTTTTCCTGTCTTTTGCAGGTAAACAAAGCCCCATCCTAAAATGGCAAGACTGTGAGGTGCCAAGTCTTCAGCGCCATGGTCCGGAGTCGGTGATGCAGTGTGCAGCTGCCCATGTGTACCCTCTACCCCGGCAGCCCCCTACCTCCCTGTCCCCCACCTCCATGCCTGGCTCCCTGGACTCAAGTACTAGACCCCAGGTCAGGGCACAGGGCCAAGGTTCATTGCCCTGAGCAGCCTCCATTGACCCTATGTAGGGATGAGTTCCAGGAGCTGGCTGGGGTCTGAGACGTCCCTGGGTGGTGGGTAGGCAGGTAGCCCTGTAGGAAAGGCTCCCCTGGTAAAGGCTTTTTGCCTTTTCCTGCCTTCTGTACCTACTTGGTCTCACCTGGGTCCACAGGGGTCCGGGGTGGGGGGAAGGCTGGTCACTCCCCTCACAGCCACCCCAACCTGTAGGTGGTTCTGAAATCTGCTGTGCCCCACACAAATGGTCAGGGATGAGGGGGACCACATAGGGCTCCAGGACTCACTGAGGCTTTCCTGCTGTGCTGAGTGTGGGGCACCGGGCTGAGGCCCTAGCCAAATGCCACATCTTGCCAGTTGTGCTCTTCCGGTTCCTTTTATTTTTTTTTCTATTAAATATCCACTCGTTTGGTTTAGTTTGCGTCTGTGAGGTCTGTGAGGGTGAATGTGGAGGCGTTGGGAGCCCAATGTGTTGGAGATGGAAGGGTGGGATTAGTCCTGCCCTGGGCTGGGTCCGAGGGTCTGGGTTTGGAGTGGGCGGGGTCTTACCCAGGACCATTTTGTACTCAGCTTTCAGCCCTGCCCTAGCCCCTTGCACCTCTGCAGGCCTGATATCTGCTGGGGTGCTGGGGTGACACCTTGACCTTCCCTTTCTCCCTCTGGCTGCCTCCAGACCATCCCTATGAGGGTATTTCAAAGACCCAGGTCTCCAGACTCAAGTCCCATTCCCTCTCCTGTGCCTGAATCAGTGACACCTGGCTTGGAGCCCCAGGTCAGGGATGACAAAGGCCAAGTTGCAGGGGTAGAAGGGGGCAGGTGAACAGCAGCAGCCCAGGGAAGCCAGGCAGAGGCAGAGGCAGAGGCAGAGGCAGAGGCAGAGTGTTAACTACAGTACCACTTTATTAATACTGGAATCTTCACAGTGCGTTTGTTACTTGTAGCAGTGACTATTTAAATCAAGGAGAGGATGGATGTGGGGGGCGGGGGAAGAGAAGAATTTATCCAAAAATCGACAGAAAGAAAAGAAAAACAGTGGTTCAGATGGGATGTAAGGGCAGGGAAGAGTGGGGTGGGGGGAGGAAGGGTGAGTAAGAACCAGGAAAAGTGGCAAAATAAATTAAAAAAAGGAACAAGTTAACAACAGCACCAGAAAAAGTTACTTCAGTCAAAAGACGCGTTTGAAGAGTATTTCTCTGTACAAAATGAAAAATAAAACAAACGTAAAGAAGTCCCCCAAACCAAAGTCTGTGATGCAGGATGGTTGGCTCGGATCCCAAGGGGGTGGGCCTACGTATGAGGTGGTCACTAAATGGAAGAGGAGGTGGTTGGTAGGGAGAGGGGCTAGTTGCAGGTAGACGAGGGGATGGAGTATGTACATCCCTGGAGGGGAAGGAAAGGCGAAATGTGGGGGGCTGTGCTACCCCACCCCCTCCTGGGGAAGCCCCGGTCTCCCTTCCCATCGGGGCCTGGAGCCACCAAGTCTATCCTTACAGGGACTCCCTATCCAGAACTCAGCCCCACTCCAAGCGCAGGGGCTGTATCTGCCCACCCCACTTTCCATATCCCTTTCTGGCCCTTTGACAGCCCTGGGGGGGGGGGTTGGGGGATGTGGCCGAAATTCCACCTCTAGAATTCTCCATCTGGTCATCTGCATTCTTGGCCTCTATACCTGGGGGTCTGGTGACACCTGAGTTGGGTGGGCCAGGTGCTCAGTATGGCATGCCTGAGACCCTGAGATCATTCTCTGGCAGCCTCAAGAAGCCCAGCAGGAACTCCATCCACACACAGGAATTCCTGCTTTTCCAGATCCACTTGGGTGCCCCGCTAGGACCACGGCATAAGAGCACCCCTGAGCAGCCAGACCAGCCCCAACTCCATTCCATCCAGACCAAGGCAAGCTGCTCTCCCAACTGGGGGGGATGCTGCCTTGGAGTCTGCTGTCTGTTCTACAGACCCGAACCTCCTGGATCCCTCCTCTCACCTTAGACTCACATGCTTTGACTTGCTCAGACTTGGTTGCAGAGTGGAGGCTGCCACTCTTCCACCCCGCTGCTGCCATCCCCAGTCAGGGGATGGCATCTCCTCTGGCAACAGAGAGTCAAAGCCAGCCTCTGCAGACTTGCTCCAAGCTGGGCCTGCAGCTCACTCTGACCACAGCAGATGGGCCAGAGGCCCCCCGCCTGCCTCTCCAGCCTGATTCTACCAACACTTGAGACACGGGAGAGAAGAGCAGTCTCCTCCTAGTTTGGGGGAGCCAATTCCAGCCTTCTCTTGCCTTGGGCCTACAGCGGGCACTCCACATTTGTCTCTCAGGCACTCAGATACACCCTGTACCACCAGCTTACCCTACACACAGTCTTTGTCTGGGGTCAGCTCCATTTTATTCGCATAAAATAACCTCACACTCCCTAACGCTCCAGCCTCCATCCCCATCAGTGGCTGAAAATGTGAATCCAAAGTGCCTCCCTGCCACCCCACCCAAGTTAAAGTCTCAGCATGTCCAGATGCTGAAACAGCTGTGTGGGTCTTTGGACTCCTTTCCATGTAGCCCTGCCTGGCCTCCACAAGCAACACCTCACAGAGGGAGGGGAGTTGGAGGATCCCCTGAGACAAGGCCCCTATGTCTTCTCTTTCTAGGCTCTCTTTCCCTCTGAGTGGGCCTGTCTTCCAACATCAGACTGTTTCCTTAACTCTAGTCACAAATTGGATTCTCAGCTGACTGAGTGCCTGGCCTCTCTATGATCACCCTAACCCCCAAGAGAGGGGAGCCCAGGAGCAGCAGAGAGAAGGCAAGAGGGAAGGGGGAGGGGGCTCAGGCATGGACAGGAGGGAGCCAGCATTCAAGGAGAGCTGGGCATATGGCCCTGGGTGGGTGGGGGGGCAGCGTGGCTAGAACAGAATTGTGGACCCCAGGCCAGGTGGGACCCAGGTGGCAGGCCCAGCCCTTGGTTGTGGGCTCTAGGCTTTGGACAAGGCAGGGCCTGCAGGGAGGAAGAGGAGGAAGAGTAGGCAAGAAAAGTATAAAACAGGCTCCAGAACCAGTTCCAGGCCTGCAGGCGCTGTCCTGGCAAGGTGTTAAGGAAGTCACTTCTGTGAGCCACTGAGATCCAGCCTAGATGTCTCTTTTCATAAAGTGGCTGTGCCTCATTCCTGGTGCTGTTCTCTCTCCTCGCTGTGCCGTTGCTCAGAGTGGCTGCCCTTCACAGACCAGGCCACCTGTTAGTGCCACGGCCATACAGGGTGGTGCCATCATAAGATTCGGGGTGCCGACCTGTCGTTGGTGACGGTCCTGCGAAGCCGGACCCCGCGTCGGATGGCCACCAGCATGTCTTCAGCTGGGGGGTCACTGGTGGCAGCAGGGGGTGGGGTGGGCGTCTCCTCTGTAGAGGTGGCTGACAGGGCAGTGGGAAAGGGGAATTGGCCCTCACCCAGGGCATGGGCACCGGCCACCAGCTCCCCAAGCTTCTCCACCAGGCTGTGCCGGTTGGCAGCCAGCTGTTGCTCCTCGTCATCCTCAGTCGCCGGCCCGGCCCCAGCCCCTGTATAGCTGGCTGTCTCTGGGGACGGGCTGCCCCAAGCTGTGTTGGGCAGGCTGAGCCTCTTTGGGGAGGCCTTGGCCAGGTCTGGAGCCAGAGGTGAGGCCACTTCGTCCGTGTAGAAGACACATTCCTCACTGCCTGCCCGCGTGGGCCCCACATAGCCAGGGGAGTCGGGCACTGTGGGTGTCTTCACAGGAACGATGGGTGGCCGGATGGGGATGGGGCCGGCGCTGGACAGGGCACGGCGCACAGTGGGCTTGGTGGAGGGTGTGCGGCGGATGGTGGCCACACCTGGGGGTGCGCCTGAGGGTAGGCCCATGGCTGTGGGGAGCCCAGCAGTGGGCAGCCCAGCGGTGGATGCAGGGCGCTTGGTCTGGATCAGGCGGCGATAGTTCTGGGCAATGTTGCTGTTGCGAGGGATAGTGGATGATTTGTCGAACTCAGGGGGGCCCTCGCTGTCTGCATCCCCATTCACAGAGTAGCAGTCATAGTCTGAGCCTGGAGATAAGAGGTACAGTGAGCCCGGGACAAGCTGTCCCCTGAACTTTGTACCTACCCATGAGAGGAGCTGAGATGGAAGGAAGGGCCCTCTTGTGGGGCTCCATCCCAGCTGTCCATGGTGGGGCAGGGTCTTGGGCTCACCTTGAGAGGGGATGGTGTCCTCGGAGCATGAGGGTGTTGTGGTCTGCGTGCTGTAGCCACTGGAATACTGCAGGGAGTCCCGGCTGCTCTTCTGGTGCTCCAGGCTCAGTCCTCGGGTCAGCACCATGGCCAGGTCGCTGGCTGCTGGGGACACCTCCTCACCGTGCTGAGAGTAGGAAAAATGTCAGGCTAAAGCCTTGATCTCCAATTCCACCCTCTGCTGGACGTCCTGGCACTGACCTGGGGATAAAGCCTGAGGCCTGGCTTGCCCACCTACCTTGGCTGCTATGGTGGCAGGGGACATCCGTGGTCGTGGTCCCTCCTCTGCACTGGAGCCCACAGTACCTCCACCAGCGGGGCCTGGCTCTGTGTCTCGGAGAAGCTCCACTCGGTCCTTCCTCCGCTGCAGAGTGGTGGTTGAGGGCTGCTCGTGGGGACCGGCCTTGGTCCAGTCCTACAGGGTTTGGCAGGCAAGTCAGGGGGACCCTTGGCTTTACTGCCCATGATCAAGGAGGTCCTTCATTGTGGTTGAATCTCAAAGGGTGCAGATCCCTGAGGGCCAAGGCCAGAATCTTGTGGGCAGCAGTGACTGCTCTATTCCAGCAGCCCAGGGGCAGGACAGGGTGTTCTAAGATGGAAAGATGAGGCTGCAGCAGGTACCCTGCAGCTGCTTCACGGAGATAAGTGTTGTATACACACAGCTCTCTGGCTGAATCTGGCCGCCCCCTCTGTGGTGATTGCCCCAGGTCAGGAGGGCACGGGGTGGGCAGCTGATGATGGTAGTGGGGCTGGGGTCAGGGGAACTGACCGAGGTGGGGGAGCTGCACTCGCTAACAGACTGGCACGTTTCTGAGGCCTCGGAGGACGCGGAGCTGGAGGACTTCTGCCATGCAGAGGCGAGCAGGTGGTCGCAGATGGGGGCCCATAGGCAGATAGGCCAGGGAGGTGGGGAGGAGAGAAGAGTTCTGGTCACAGCGGTGGCATGCAATGGGCAGTTTGATTCAGCATTTCACCCCGTGCTCCCCTCCTAGGACTATAGCCACCAAGACCTCCGCAGAAGGCAGCAGCCCAGGGCATGTCCTGCAGGCACGGTCCCATTCATGGCCCAGCCCAAGAGCTACGTATTTTGAGGCTTCAACTTAGGATTGGCTGCTGAGGACCTGAGCATGGTGGGCAAGGAAAAGGGTGACACTGAGGATACACATGGGCATTTGGTTTGGGCATCCAGGTTGATGGTGCTACTATTTTCTCATAAAGGGGATGCCCTGGTGAGAGGGGACTATGGAGGCCCAAGGCCCAGCTTGGGCACATTCATCTGAGCTGCCCATCATGTCTTTATCTATGCAAGGTCACAAGTACAGCCCTGAGGGAGGGAGGGAAAGGTTGGCACTGGGACCAGGTCTCTGGCAGCTGCTTGGCAGGACAGGATGAGGCTGATTAGAGATGAGGCTCACAAGCTCTTAGGGTGCTGACATTCAGTGGTAGGAAGAGGATAGACTCCCAAAAAAGAGCAGTAAGGATCTGCCAAGGAAGAGGGGGCAGCTGTGCCTAGGAGGTGAGGTCATCAGCTCCCAGGTCCATGGGCTCTATGAGGGGTGCTCCCTCCATAGAATGGGGCTGTGGGGCCCTCATTGCCTGAGTATGCATGGGAGTCCCTACTGTGTGCAAGAGAATGGACTAGGAGCCCCCACTATGTGCAGCAGAATGGACTAGGGACCCTGGAGGCCCTCCCACTCCAACCAGCTGGAAAGAATAGGGAAAGTGAAATAGGGTAGAAACAGGAGAAGGGGTGAGGGGCAGGGTTTCCTAGGCAGATGCTGACTTTGGCACTGAGGTTAGAGGTATGGCCAAGTGAAGCACTCACCCCGTGATGAGCGAGTTAAGCCAAACACCCACGTCCCTGCCAAACTTTCCATGTCATCTTTGATTTAGATCCCTGGGTTTCCTACGAACTATGATGCACCAAGATCACCAGAATAAAAGAGAACAAAGCACCAGAGATGAGGATGGGGGTGGGGGGGGGATAACGCACTCGCTTTTAGCAATATGACTTAAGATTAAAACGACAGTGAAAAACTCAAGGGGGAAAGTCCAACACCCATTCATAGACAAGAATGAAAATGACACAAGCTGGGAACAGAAAGGACGTGCCTTAGTATAGTAGAGAATATCTACAAAGACATCAATCTGATGCTGGGAAAAAGGCAGGGAAACTTGCTATCAGCACTTCTCAGCACTGGGAGTCTGAGCCAGTGCAAGAAAGCACGAAAGAGAGAAAGCAAAGCCAAAGGGCTGGAAAGGAAGAAATAAGATGACATACTGAGAATCTACAAATTATCTGAATCTACAAATGGTCTGAATCAGTAAGTGATTTAAAAGTTTTTTGTTACATTTATTTATTTTGTTGTGTCTGCGGTGGGGCATATGTGCCACGGTACCTGTGTGGAGGTCAGAGGACAACCTGTGGGAATCAGTTCTCTCCTTTCATGACATGGGTCCTGGGGATTATACTCAGGTTGTCAGGGTTGGCAGCAAGCGTACCTGCAGAGCTATCTGGTCAGGCCTTAATAAGTGATTTTAACAAGGATACTGGATAGAAGGGTCAGAAAAAAAAATTCTCAATACGAGCAGCTAATAAACAGGAATGTAATCTATCATATTGAAAAACACCAAAAACCTAGAAAGAAAATCCAATAAAAGATGTGCAAGATTTTTTTACAAGAGAACTGCAAATTGGTATTGAGAGAACTTAAAGCCTAGGTCAACAGGAGACATGCTCTCCCCAGTCAAAAGCCCCAGGAGCTTTTGTGCTTTTTTTCCTTTTTGTAGTAGAATCTGATCTTGAAATTTATAAGGTAACTGACAAAGTGATTCTGAATAATAATAGTAATAGTAATAATAATAATAATAATAAAGCTGTAAGGCTTTCAGTATCAGTTATCAAGCTTTTCTAGAGAGTCTGAGTGTTTCATATGAGGGCAAAAAGTACTGGGTTCAAGCCCCAGCACCACAGACACCCACACATATACAGATACACACACTCAGATATACAGATAGACACAGACACACATAGAGATACACAACAAGGGATTTGCTACAGTTACAGCAATGGTGGTGTGGCATTGGCACAAACATAAATCAGACAGCTGGACAGAGTACAGGTCTAGAAAGAGCCACAGAGACAGAGAGAGAGAGAGAGAGAGAGAGAGAGAGACACCTGATTCTTGACCAAGATGCTACTGTAGTGAAGTAGGGAAATGATGTTGTTGTGATGTGGATGTTCACAGCTCCTAAGAATTCTACCCCCCAAGAGGTGGGGTCTTTCTTTGGGAAGTGATCAAATCCTGAGCGTGGTGCCCTCACAATGGGATTGGTGCCCACATAAATGAGGCCTGTTGGAGCTAGTCTGCCCCTCCACCATGGGGAAGACAAGGCAAGACGCCTTCTGTGAACCACAGCAGGAATAACCAGACACTGATCTGCTGGTCCAGCCTCCACAAGTGTGAGGAGTGATTTCTGCTGCTTATGATTTGTTCAGTTTACAGTATTTTCTTATTTATGGCTCAAACAGTATAAGGAAGATCAATAGATTGTCCTAAGTTAATAAGAAAGCTGTACGGAAAAAAAGGCCCCTTACTTCACAGCACATAGGCTCACACACAGTCAATGAGCTCAAGATGTAAATGAAAAAAGATTAAAAAAGAACTTTTAAAGGAAAACATCTTTGTCACCTGGGAAGGAATCTTAATGAGGGGCTGTCTAGACTAGGCTGGCCTATGTACTTGTCTGTGGGGGATTGTCTTAACCAAGTTAACTGATATGGGAAGACCCAGGCCAATGTAGGGGTCCTGATCTGTTTAAGAACAGAAATCGAGCTGAGTGCATCAAGCAAACATACATGCACGCATCTTCTCTGCTCTTAACTGTGGATGTGATATGACTGGATGTTTGAAGTTCTGGCCTTCATTTTCTCACAACGATGTCACCTGGGACTATAAACTGAAATAAACCCCTTTCTTCCCTAAATTGCTTTTTGTCAGGGTATTTTATCACAGCAGCAGAAATGAAACCAAAATATCAGGGAACTCTCTAAAAGTCCTGAAAATGGAGAGCAGCTAAATAAATGATATATTCACTCAAGGGTGTGCTATACCAACATGAAGATGATACCTGTCTCCACATCAAACAGATGATTTTCATCAACGCAATGCTAAGCAGAAGCCAGAAGTAAAAGGTCCATACTATATGACTTCATATATATATGTATATGTGAACATATATAGGTGTACACACACAATCTTTTTGGTGTTAGGATCAAACCCAGACTTCATGCATGCTATACAAGTACTCAACAACTGATTTATACTCCAAGCCTAGTAATTTATATATACATATATGTATACACATGCATACACACACACACACACACACACACTGTGTGTGTGTGTGTGTGTGTGTGTGTGTATAAATCTAGCCAGCAATTACTCTGGATTGGCGGTGGGGGAGTAGCAACTAGGGTAGTGCAGAGGCTTTAAGGTGACAATCAAGCTGTGCTTTGTTCATGGGGCTGGCTGCTTGGGTGTGTTCAAGTTTGCAGATTTATTGGGTGTGTCACTGTGATATATTTAGTCTGTGTGTATAGAATACATCAATAAAAAAGTTCTTAGAGACTCAGTGGTGGGCTGGAGAGATGGCTCAGCAGTTAAGAACAATGGTTGTTCTTGCAGAAGACCTGGGTTCGAATCCCAGCACCCGCATGGCAGCTAACAACTGTCCGTAACTCCAGTCCCAGAAGATCTGACAGCTTCTTCTGAACTCCGAGGGCATTGCATGACATGGGTGCACTTAGCTACATGCAGGCAATACATGCATACATGTAAAATACAAAAAAAAAGACTCAGTGGTAACGGATTTTAACTCAGAATCAAAGAAATATTTATGAGTCCATAATGGTATAAATAAGTAATTGCGTACACAAATGAATGGAGAGAAGGGACAGGGCTTTTTTTTTTTTTTGCAGTGGGATTTCAGTTAATAAGAGTGGGGGGGTGATGGAAGTGAGAAATCAGTATTATGAACACACAGGCAAGGATGCTAAAATTAAGGAGTGAAAGAATGAGGGGGGGCAGGGTATTAACGGGGTCTCAAGGTGTCCCCTGTAAGGTATTTTATTAATTACAAAGGGAAAAATGATAACTGAACAGTGGGGAGGTCTGGTCAACCCCACCTGAATCAAGAATCAGGGTGAGGATCACAAGTCACGAGGCAAAATGGTGTGACGCAGCTGATCTGGCACATCAAGATGGTCACAGCACCACTTCTGTGGCGTTCTTGCCTTTTGTTTTGAACAGGAACATATCAGACCAGCCCAGGGAGGCATTCTGCGAATGCCTTCGAAACATCAAAACTGGAGGAGGCAAAAACTGGGACCATCAGACACTGGAGAAGCACAGACTCACTGCAGCACGAGATTCTAGACTGGCCCCTGGACCAGATTAAAGAACAGCAGGGAGAAAACTAGCTAAATGTGAAAACCAGGCTGCAGAACAGTTGGTAGTGCTGAACCAGTGCTAGTTCCCTGGTTTTGAAAGCTGTTTGGAGGCTGGGAATGTAGCTCTATGGTAGAGCGCTTATCTAGCATGCATAAGGCCCTGGGTTCAATCTCTAGTACCAGGAAAAAGAATTGAAAGTTTGTATTTAAGCCAGGTGTGGTGGCTCAAGCCTGTAATCCCAGTGCTTAGGAGGCTGAGGCAGGAGGATTGAGAGTTTGGGGCCAGCCTGAAGTACATAGTGAGACCCTGTCTCCAAAACACTAGGTGAGTTTTAAGGGGTGGGGGTGGGAGGGAAGAAAACTGGTAGCTCCATAAGACGTCAACATTGGGAAAGACTGAGGGGAGGGCATTTGGGGGTCTTTGTACTCTGTTTGCAACTTTCCACAAGCCTAAAACCAAACAAGCTAGACATGGTGGTGCATCATTGTAATTCTAGCACTTGGTTGAAGCCAGGGGGATTGCTGGTTTGAGGCCAACCAGGGCTCCATAGTGAAAACTTGCCCTTGCTAAAAAATGTGAGAGGAACAATTAAACAAAAATGTCCTAACCCCTCAATAGGCAGGTCAAGTTGCAAAAAAGAAATAAAAGTAGATTGGAAGACAGGCCTAAAGAAATTATCTGGAAAGCAGTGTGGAGAAACAAGGGGATAAAAAAAAAAAAAAAAAAAACAACCTTGAATCAAGAGACACAGAAAGACAGAAGGTGTGGCACACATTTAATTGTAATCCCAGCAGGAGGGACTAGAAAGCAAGTAAACAGATAATGGCCGGGAGCTGGGAGCTGGGAGCTGGGAGCTGGCTGTCGGGAAAGTGCTTGCCTTGCAAGCCTGATGGCCTGAGTTTGGGTCCTAGAACCCACATAAAAAGGTCAGGTGTGGTTGTGCACGCTTGTAAGCCCAGCACTGGGGAAGCATCCACAGGTGGATCCCTGGGGCTTGCTGGCCAGCCATCCTAGTCTAGTTGGTGAGTTCCAGGCCAGTGAGAGACCCTGTCTCAAAAAATAAAAGTGGATGAGGGACAATCCCCAAGACTGACCTCTGGCCTCCACATACACCTGCACATGCATGTACCTATGAATACACATGCAGACACACACAGACACACAGAAAGGAGAGGCTAGCCTGCCCTACATGAGACCATACCTCAAAAACTACCATGCACACAAATGGCTAGGGTAGAGGTGTAGTTCAGTGATAGAATGTTTGCCTACTATATACAAGGCCCTGGATCTGATCACCAGCATAGAAGAAAAAAAAAGATACTGTCAGATTGGATAAAACAATAAAATCCAGGCATATGCTATTTATGAGACTCATCTAAAACATGATACATGTGTTTAAAAGCACGGAGATGGAGATCAATGATACAAATACGGAAGAGGATGAACCAGTCTTCACAGCAGTTAAGCAGTTACACCCCCTCCCCCATTGCCTGAGGCTAGCTTCCCACCCCAGGAGGTCCTTCTGATGCCCTCTCACCTGGCTGGTGATATCTGAAGGCATGGGTGAGGGGGGCTTGGAGTAGGTGGCATCCTGGGAGACGAAGCCAGAGTCGTGGGAAGAGACGCTGGAGAGGCGGGTGCTGGCTGGCTGCGCCAGGCTGCGGTAGCGACAGGTGGAACTGGGTGAGTATGTTTGGGCACCCCCAGGCCATGGGGCTCCGCCACCCTTGGCACTGCTACTGCTGGTGGGGGCACTAAGGGAGTGAAGGAGAAGGGCAAAGCAGCCAGACAGGGAGATACAGGGGTGTGTGTGGAGGGGAGGGTGAAGGGTAATGGATGAGGGTGGAGACAGAGATGAGGGGCAAAGGAAGGAAAAGATAATGTCAGACTACGAGAGACCCAGGTACTACTGAGAAGTTTTGGGATGGTGCGTCAAGGCAGAGCAGGAACAGGAGATGCCAAGCTCCTGGCCCTGGAGTGCCTCAGTGCCGGGGAGTCCTTGCCAGAGCACATCCAGTGTGAGGAATCCCTCTGCCTCCCACACTGTCATTAGATTGTGTCCTTAGGTTCACAATGGGGAAGCTGAGTCACCAGGCATAGAACAGCAAGAACCAGAGAACCAGCCTGATCGTTTCTTCTCAGAGCCTGCTACTTGGCTGTCTGATCACAGTTGGATATCTGGTGTGGTGATGGTGTGTCTGGAAATGGAGGTGGCTTGCCAGGTAGAGCCTAACTCTTCCACCACCTTGTCACCGCTCTCTTCTAGGTGTCTAGTTTTCTGTGGCTCCTGTTTCTGCAGGGCCATCCTACCCCTGGTCAGCATTCTTGGCAGTGAAGACTGTTCTCCCAAATGTGACCTTTGGGCCTCCTCAACCCTGCCCTGGCTCATACATCTCCTTTGTAATCAACATTATCCCCTGGGACAGTTACCAGTACTCACTCAAGGTCTAAAGAGGCCCCAGTAGCCCTGGGCCCACCTCTCCCTGTAGGATAAGCTGATGAATGGGTCCATCCAGCTTCTTTCTAGCTCCCAGTAAGAGAATTCTGGGGAGAGAGTTGCCTGGGACAGAGCCTCTCTAACCTGCTCTGTGTTTGCTGCCCTCCTTACCTGAGGACACTTGAATCATAATCATCTCCTCTGAATCTAGCCCCAGGGCCAGCCTGATGATTGAACAAGACTCCTGGCCTCTCTCCATCCCTGTGAAACCTCAGGAGCCCAGTTAGGCCAGGGCTGGAGACCGTGACAGCTGCTTGTGACCAACTTAAGGAAACAGCCAGGCTGTAGTGCTCTTTACCCTCTAGTCCCAACACATGTTCCCAGAAGCCTCCACATTTTTCCTTGATTTTAGATTCTTTTATTATTTTGTTTTGTTTGAGACAGGGTCTCATAGAGCCCAGGTTGGTCTCCAACTTGATATATAGTTGAGAATGACCTTGAACTAAGGATCTTCTTGTTTCTACCCACCAAATGCTAGGATTACAGGCATGCATCACCCCACTTGACTTTTTAAATTTATATTTGAGACGGGGTCCGGCCTTCGATTCTCAATCTTCCTCTTTCCATCTCCCAAGTGCTAGGATTACTGGTGTGCATCACCATGCCTGGCTTGATCTTACATTATTACTATTACTGTAACACACTGTCCTAGGCTTGGCAGAGATCAATGGCTAAATGCTACAACTGAAGTGTCTCAGTTTCCCCTTCTGTGCAATGGGGACAACACTATGCCTGACACAGTGCTGTCAGGGTTCAACGTAGAAAAACCCTGGCACACAGTGACATTCCAGCAATGAAGCCATTGTCCCCTTTCCTGCCAATTGAAGGATGTGTCCTTCTTCCATACATGAAAAGCCCTTGGACACTTAGATGCTGTGTGAGTTCTGGGGCTCTGAAATAACTACTAATGAAGCTTTGCTGGCAGCTTCTCCACCCCAAAACACCCTCCATGAGCCCCTAGCCACCCACCTGCACATGCTGGACTTCCGAGAACTGGAGCTGCTGGGTGATGAGGGTGGGGTCTGGTAGGACCAGCTGTAGTCAGAGCCCTTCAGATCTTTGATCACCTGGACAGAGATGTGGGTGGAGGTCACAAGAGGCACCTACCAACCTATAGCACATCTTGTGCTTCTGGAGCCCCTCAGAGATCTGGTAGGCAGGACATCCTCCACTCTATTCTCAACTGTGAACCACACACCAGAAGACCCTGAGGATCTCAAGCCTAACCCTAACCACTTGATACATTATCCCCACTGAGCTCAGTTGGACAAGGGAGCTGGGGGCGGGGAGCAGATTCTATGGCTTGTGGAGGGGCTGGTCCCACTAGAGCAGGCAGAGAAGACAGGCAGACAGACACAGCAAAGACACGAAGCTGCATAGCCCCCAGGATCTGGGGTAGGGGTCACGAGAGATACAGGTGCTCCTGAGGACTCATGGCAGAGGAGCCAGGTGGAAGTGCCATGACACTGGGAGTCAACACTGTCACTAGACCTCTCTTTAGAGCGCTGGAAGGACTTGGTGAGGTGACCAGAGGAGAGTACGCAGTAGAGTGTGGAACACACAGGAAGTGCCCAAGGAATGCAGTGGCAAGGGGCTGCCCAGTGCATGTGTGCAGGAGATGGGCCTGGTTCTAGGGGCAGTGACAGGGTTCTGGGAGTGAATGACAGTCAGGCATCACAAAGTTAGGAAAGGCTAAACCTCAGGGACCTGATTTCTGCTCTTCTGTCTGAACCCTGCTGAGTCCTGAGCCCTTCAGTCCTTATCTGGGCAGGTGTTCCCAGAAACCCCACAGGGGCTGTTGGAAGGTAGTGCCTCCCCAAAATGCTGTCCTCTTTTCTCCTTTACTGTCCCCAACTGAAGACAGGACTATCCCGGCCCTGGCCTTAGCCCTTGGCCCTAGGACTGGCCGCACCTGCTCACTGGCGGGAGGCAGCTTGTGGGGTTCCGCGGTCAGCACCACCAGGTCGTCAATGATGCCCTGCAGGTGGGTGATCTCTCCCAGCATGGTCAGCTCGCCGTTCTGAGGAAGCAGCCCATCAGTCCCTAGGCTGTGCACCTGCCCACCCACTCTGGAGAAATAGGCCTGTCAGGTGAGACTCTCCTCTTTCCCCCTTCCCTGTTAACCAATGCTGGTACAGGCTTGAGTCCAACCAGGTGGCTGCTGCAACCATCTGTCCAGACTCAAGTGGCCCTGAATGCACCTAGCCAGGGATCACCAAGAAGTAACCTTGGAGGTCAAGAGATCTACCCAGGGTCTAGTGGGGTCCAAGTCACCAAGAGACCCACCACCACAGGCTGCAGGAAGGTAATGAAGGTGCAGAACCGGCCCCGCTCCTCGATCAGTGCCCGGCGCACTGCCTGCTTCTCTGTCTCCTCCAGCAGTAGATACATGTCATTGACGTCCTGTAGGGCACTGTCCAGCTGTGGTTGCAGGTCTCCTTTCCCTGCAGGGGTTGGGAGGAGAGGCCGCGCTGGGGACGCTGGCCTGGTTGGCTGCACCCATGGCTTAGGCCCCCATGGTGGTGTCCTGGGCCGTGGGGCTGGGCATACCATGGGGACAAGGGAGCTGGGGGCGGGGAGCAGATTCTATGGCTTGTGGAGGGGCTGGTCCCACCAGAGCAGGCAGAGAAGACAGGCAGACAGACGCACAGTAAAGACATGAAGCTGCATAGCCCCCAGGATCTGGGGTAGGTAGATGATCTGGGGTAGGGAGGCCAGCCGGAGGTCTCTGTTACCCAAGATGCCTTCACTCCCCCAGCACGGCAGCCCTAACCTAAAGCGGTACTGGGAAGTGGCTAGAAGCAGGACAAAGGAGAGCAGGGTGGGGAGCTCAGCTGCAGGCCAGGCTACTGGAGGGTGCAGGGATCAGTAGAGGTAGTGGCTGGGCTTGGGGAGGAAAGAGGGTGTCTCAGCATGGGTCACCACTCAGCTAAGGAACCAAGGAACAAGGACAGCAACAACAACAGCAACACAAGAAAGCATTGAGAGAGACAGAGAGAGGTGAGAGAATGATGTGGAGGAGACGGTGAGGCGACAGTAAGGACCTGGCTGGCTTGGTGGGAATGGGGCAGCCAGGGCTTGTGCCCCCCACCCTGCCCAGCCAGCCAACCCCTCCTGGCCTGGCAGACTGACCCAGCAGTGGCTTGGGACTCATTCCTGACCAGGAGCCCCAGGGGGACTGTGCCCCAGGCCCCGCCCTCGGTGGACCAACCGCCTTCCTCGCTCCTCCTTGGCCTGGAGAGGCTCCTTCCAATGGCCCTGAGCTGGGGGAGACAGACAAATGCGACAAGGACGGGAGGAGCAGCTGGAGGGTGGAGGGACGGACATTTGACTTACCAAGTAGCTCTACAGGAAGGATGTGGGAGGAGGAGAGGAGGAGAGACAGAGAAAGAAAGAATGTGTGAAAGACAGCCGGATGGACAGAGCCACTCCTGGGGTGGGGTGGGGGGGCCTGGGCAGTCTGGGGTGCAGGGTGCTCCCTCGTCCCACCCGGCATGTTGGAGTGTCCTGTGTTAGGAACATGATCCCCTTAGCCAGAATGATGCCCTGGGGGTGTCCCACAGGGTGGTGGGGGCTACTGAGTGGGGCCCGGGGGCTGGGCCGCAGTAGGCCGCTGTGGGCCCTACCTTTGCGTGCTTTCTTTTGTAGTTTCAGCGTGTCAGAAGACTTCTTTTTGATCTCATGCCTGGCTCGTTTGTACTCTGTGTAGGGGTAAGAGGAGAAGCTATAGTGGGGGGAGGTCCCTGTGGAGAGGTATGGGAAGCCCCCGCAAGGCCCCACCCCACCTTTTGCGTGGTCCTTGTCCAGTTGGTTGGCTGACTTCTTCCAGTCTTCAATGCGCTCCTGCAGTGGATTGATGAGACTCTCCAGCAGCGCACTGTGGGGTGGGAGCTGCGGGTCAGGGCTAGGTGGCTGGGTTAGGGCAGGGGTGGCCTCCCTGGGATAGGATGCCCCTCACCCGACTGCTGTGCCCACTCACTTGGTGAACTGCCGCAGCTTGGTCTCAATGCTGCGGTGGCGCATGCACATGCGTGTGAGTGCCGAGCCGATGTCCCGTGTGGCCCCTGGTAAGGAAGCAAGCTGCATGGGAAGGGGTCTGGATGGGGGCCTCTGTTGTCCCAGCCTCAGGCCACTAGGGGGCGCGCTGTCCCATGAAGGCTACTGCTGACCTGTTCCCATCTCACGAAATCCTGCAATCCTGTCACCCCCTGCAACCAGGGTTGGGCCATCCAGGCCATCCTAGCTTTCAGGGGCTGTGGATGCCCTACTGGTCAGGCCTAGAGCCTTCCTTGCCTCCTATCTGGAAGAGGCCTGCAGGAAAGATGAGTCAGCCAAGAAGCCTAAACAAGTTCCCTCCAGGTGTGTCCAGATTCTAGGGGATGCACACCCCTGGCTTGTGTTCTTATTACTCAAAAGAACGTAAGTCCACGTGCCTGCTACGCCAACTGGGAGGCAAAGGGACCACCAAGCCCCCAAGGACTTTTGCCCTGCCTTACACAGCTCTCAGAAAGGCACATGGGGGCGACTGAGAAACTATAGATGGATATACTATACAGTAGGGCCAACAATGGCAACTGAGGGGTTAACTGAGCTGCCCACAGTAACTGGAGGATCTCCCAGTAACCTCCCTGTCACTGCTCACCCGTCCCATCCCATCATCGCAGAAACCAAGGTCTCCATTCTGGGCCTGGTATCCTTCTCACAGCCCATACCCCACTCAGCCTTTCCAGCCTCCCAGTCCACTGGGGACGTCCCCCACCTCCAGCTACGCCCCCTCCCCACCTCGGGTGTTGGTGGCCATGTCAGCTACTTTCTGGAAGGCATCTAGGAAGGCCACAGCAGCCAGCACGGTGGTCCTGGGGAGATGCACAGTGGGGTGGATAGTCAGTGGGTGAGAGGTCCTTCTCTGCCCGTCCCTCCCCAACTGGGATACCCTGGGCAGCCTCACCTCAGCTGGGAGTGCAGCTTCGTGGCCTTGGAGTTGAAGTCCTCCCAAATGGGGTAGGAGCTCTGTGGAGAGGTGGGAGAGGAAGTAGGACTTTGTGAGAGGGGACTACAGGGCTCCCACATGCTGCCCAGACTCTGAGTAGCTTCTGAGATGGCCCTGTGCCCTGTGGGAAGAGACACAGGACCAAGCAAAGAGAAGTCCATCCTGTCTGTGGGTGATGGCCATGAAGTCCCATGCACACTCAGGGGAGATGGAGGCAATGGATGGGAAGACAGTCTCCTTGGGGCTCACTTGTAAGCATCTGGGCTGAGCCCAGTGAAGAGCGCTGTATCCCCAACACATGCAAAGAAAGGTGGGCACTGACCTGAGAGCGCTTTGGGGGAGAGTTGGTAGAAGATGGAGGCTGGCAGAGCTAAAGGCATGCCAGGTCTAACGTGGCCCCGGAAGCTGCTGCGGGCAGGCCAGTCATCCCCAGCCAGCAGTGGTGGCTCCCAGGCCCAGGGAGGCTGTAGATGCTACACAGCCTGGCTAGCCTGCCTGGGACAACTAGGCCCCAGGCTGAATGGGGCCTTGTGCGGCCAACAGAGCCACCTTTCTCCAACCCCTCCCCTCCCCTCCAGGGGAACAGTGTGGCCTTTATCCCAGCCTGGTCAGAGGCTCTATGCTGGGAGGGGGTTTCCCAGTAGGGAGGTTGGGCTCCTGGCGACCGAGTTGTCCAGTCTGATTAAGGGGTTTTTCTGGCTAATGCACTCTTCCCATGGCTGCCAGGCCTAGAGAAAGCTCAGTCCTTGCCTGGGGGCCCCGGGAAGACCTTGCTCTTTGAAGGGGAGCCCCCAGTTAGCAAAGGCCCAGTCCCTGCCCCACAGACGGTGATGGGTCTTTGCTTTCCCAAGGTAAGGGGTCAGCAGGGCCCCAGGCCAGCCTCAGGGAGGCTGTGCTTGGTTGGGACCCCAGCTTGCCCCTCCAGGCAGCAAGGAGCAGGCTACTTCACAGACCCTCAGAAACACCCTCTCGCTGCCCAGCCAAACCGATGTCCATTTGAGAAGTGCACCACGGCTGGAACAGGAGTGGGAGGCTGTGGGTGGATTGTCCTCACCAGCACAGCTCTGGATAAAGGGGCCTGGGAGGCTGTTCCTAGCAGTCTCCCAGGAGCTAACCCAGGCTTTGGCCACCAGGGGTCTTTCGAGAGGGGGCACCCTTACACCACCTAAACTCCACTCAGATCTTCCATGCAGGGAAAATGCTGGGGTCCAAGGTGTCCAAAGCCAGTTATCCTGGTCATAGGAAAGCTTAGTGCCCCCACCCCACCACGCCCCAGCAGCTTACAGATAGTTTAAGAGCAAAGGAGAACAAGTTAGGGAATGTGGAATGCAGGCCTAGTTCCCCTCAGCAGGTGAATCTGAGCACCTGTCTTTTTTAAAAATTGTATTTATTTTGGGGCTGGAGAGATGGCTCAGCGGTTAAGAACACTGGCTGTTCTTGCAGAAGACCGGGGTTTGAGTCCCAGCACCCACATGGCAGCTAACAACTGTCTGTAACTCCAGTTCCAGGGGATCCAACAGCCCTCTTCTGTCCTCTGTGGACTTTGCACAACATGGGTACACCTACCTACATGCAGGCAATACACACATACACATAAAAATAATAAAGTAGCTGGGCATGGTGGTGCATGCCTTTAATCCCAGCACTCGGGAGGCAGAGGCAGGTGGATCTCTGTGAGTTCAAGGCCACCCTGGTCTACATAGTGAGTTCCAGGACAGCTGGGGCTACAGAGAGACCCTTTCTCAAGAAGACCAAAGATAAATAAATAAAATATTTTAAAATATATTTGTTTTTATGTGTATGAGTATATTGCCTGTATGTATGTAAATGTATCCATGTTGTGCAATGCCTGTGGAAGTCAGAAGAGGGCGCTGGATCCCCTTGGAACTGGATACAAGGGATGGTTGTTAGCTGCCATGTGGGTGCTGGGAATTGAACCCTGGTTTTCTGCAAGAGCAACCAGTGCTCTTAATGGCTGAATCATCTCTCCAGCCCCAGCACCTGATTCTTTAAGGACCCAGAACTTTCTCTCATGTTCACATGGGTCATAAAAGACCTTACAATCAAAGAAGAGGAAAGGCCTAAATGACAGGTGCCCCAGGGAGAGCATCAGCTTTGTCTGGCCCAGGTTCTAAGTTCCCATGTGTCATCATTAGCCACATGAACTGCACCTGGTGGCCAGGTGCTCTGGATGGCCAAGCACTGGCTCAGTCCTTGCAATGTATGCTCCTGTGACATCTTTACAATGCCTTGGAGGTGAATCCCATCACTGCTCCCAGTTCCCCAAGGGAACTGGAGACCCAGAGAAGCTAAGTGATTTGCCCGAGGTCACAGAGGTCTGGGATCAAGGTCTGGTCCCATATTTGACACATCAGGGTAGAGGGATCCTGTTTCTGGGGAAGCAGGGAGATGAGTACCTACATAGCTTCTAGGTGGGGAGGTGAGAGGGAATGAGCATGGAAAAGACATCCAGCTCTGCCCCAAGCACAAGGATGCTCCCAAATGGCAGAGTGAGATGCTCAATGGCTAGAATGAGACTGATGTGGAGGCTGCTGTGCTGTGGCTCCGATGGTCTTTGTGTCTGGGGGCAATGAGGCTCTAACCCCAGAAGGGGCTTTTGGGGTCACCCTGTGCAAGGTCCCCTCCTCTGATCTTGTTTCTTCATTCGCAAATCAGGCAAAGGAATGTCTTTATCTCATGGAGCTTGTGTGTGGGCTCCAGGGAGCACTTTCTGCAGTCAAAACACGTAGCAGGTAGTGAGTGCTCAGCACTGGTTAAGAGGTCAGGAGTCCCACCTATCTGCTAGGGGCCCCCACTCTGGAAGGGAGGCAAGACTGTAAGAAGCCCACTTTCTGGATAGCCCAGTGTGTTGCCCAGTCATATAGCCCTAGCTGAGTCCAAGTTTTTGCCTCTGGGTTGCGCTGGCCTGAGACAGAGGGGGCAGCGTAAGCTCCCCAGGACCCTCCTAACCTCTGGACGTGTACTTGCCTCTGTCCATTCAGCTCCAGATATAAATGGGAGGACCCCTCCTCCTGTGCCACCCCTCAGCCCAGGTTGGGACTCCCAGTTGCTCTAGAGGGAGTGTTGTGCAACCAGGAGTCTTGCTGGGGAGCAGCCCCATGGGGCAAAGCCAAGTCTCAAAATGGCTAGCCAGCTGGTGGCTACTGAGTGGGACAGCCAGAAGTGGCTTCCTCAAATCCAGTCAATCAGCCTCTAGGCCAATCCCTTTTATCATGCCAGGGTCCCGGATCACATGCATGTCATTGGTAGGGGCATACTACTGTACATAGTGTGACAATACTTGGTGAAATCATTCCTATTTTGCTCCTACATGTCTAGAAATCCTGGCTGCCATTTTGCCTGAGTCCCTTGCTGAGATTGGACCTGCATCTCATCTCTGAGTTCCTTGCAACTAGCGGAAACGGAGGAACGGAGGAAACAGTCCTGTTGTCTCCTCTGCTTGCTGCAATGTTTGCTGAGTGGCTGCCAGTGGGAAGCAGTGCGGGTGGTTCCCACCCTCTACAAGCCTGGGAGTGGCTGGGGAGGTGGTCTGGGCTGCCCAGTTTCAGAAAGGGACCCTGGTGCCAGGGCTGTAATATGCATGAAGTGGGCAGAGACTACTGAGGCCCTCAGGTGGAGTTGCCAAGGATGGTAGGGTGCGGGGGCAAGTGCAGCATCATGGGGCAGTGGGGGGCAGTGACACACTGCTAACTATGCAGTGCCAGGCCACCGTGGCTTCAGGCCTCTTCCTAGGGGTCAGGGATCTGACAGCTGCCTCCCTATACTGAGGGTGTTCCTTTGGCAGCACTAAAAGGGAGCCCCCTTCCTAAAGCACCTGTCTCTTTGGTGGTCTGTACCTGTATGTGGGTTCCCTGGCCCCCTGGGTCTGGTAGGAGTCTATGTTGTTCTTGGTAAGTATGTGTGAGCTTGGTGTGTGTGTGGGGGTGCCTTAGGAGTTCCTGTGTGGAGCCCAGTTCCATCCCCTGTCTGCAATTCTGCCCCTTCATCATAGACTAAAGTGGGCAGTGGAGAAGAATCAAAACGTTTGGCTGTGAGTGCCCACCTTGCCACTGGAGCTGGGCCTTCACTGACTAGTCAGTTTGGGAAGCCCTGTCAAACACTGGCCACGGAAGGGGGGGGGCAGAGAGAACCCGGTAAGTCCCCAGATGAACAATAAGGGCTGGGGTCAGAAGCAGGGTCCAAGGGTCTCCTTAATGACCTTACGCCATTCCCAGGTCTGTTTCCCAATCTAAAAGGGGGGCCTGCTCAACCTGACCTTGGGTAAGAGTCTGAGGGGGAAGCGTTCCCTCTGGTTGCTCCACCAGCCCCAGCCTTCTCCCTGCCATTTCCCAAGGTTCAAACCCAAGGCCTTGGAGTCCTGGAGCTTACTGGGGTTGTTGAGGAGGGGGGGGGGGCGGGGCTGGGCCGCGCAGAGGACGAAGCTGGCAGGGAAGGAGTTAACGGTTCTCTGCTTTATTATTTTTTCCTGCCTCGGCGGTGACAGCATTGTCTGGGCTTAGGTCCGTCGGGGTAGGAGGGGGGCATTGTGGTGGAAGGGGGCGAAAGCCCCTGAGACCCCAGACGCGTCAATGGTCCTTAACGGTCGGCCCGGGGGCCAAACCCCATTCACAGTGTGGGGGTCTGGGGCGCAGAGCGCTCGCGGATGCGCAGATTCGGGTCGGGGACACTTGAGCCGACCCTGGGCATCGCACGGACACCCCAACACGCGAGCACGCACACCCCCGAGACAGGCACCGGGAGACCTGGGCGCACCGCGGGCGCGGGCAGGACGCGCGCAGACAAGGACACATAGACACCGCGCCGCACGGCCACAGTAGGGCTCGGCTGCCCCGCCGCCACGTGTCCCCGGAGGGGACCCGCACCCCGCACCCGCCCCGGTTACCTTCATGTCGTTGACGATGGCCTGGAAGAGCCCGCCCAGGGCGCCGCACTCCTTCTCCGCTGTCTCCATGCTGGGGCCGGGCCGCGGCTGCAGGGCGCGCTGGGGCGCGGGGAGCCGCTCAGGGGAG